GACCTTTTTCTTTTTGTTTGTGCCTTCACTCCTTCGCTCTTTCTCTTTTCTCCTTTCTTATTTATTTCCCCCCCTCCTCCTGTGTGCTCCTTTCTCTTTTTTTGTAGCTTCTTCTCTTGCTTCTCTTTCCTAAGAATCTGAAATGTTTTCCATCTTATCTCCTTATATTCCATGACCTTCAGCTAATAAATACAGTCCATAGCTGTCCATAGCTAACACTGTCAGAGATGCCTGCTCTCTCCCTCCCTGCTTCCCTCTCTTCCTAGTTTCCTCAGTAAAAAGAGGTTAGCAGTTACCAGAACAGGAGCTGTTCTGATTTTGCAAAACACCCTTAGAGGACACTTACTTTTCTTTACAAGGCACTTACTTCTTTTCACAGGGAATTAATCGGTTTTCCTTATTTTTGCAGTATCCGAATCTGTTTCCTTTTTTATTCATCAGGTAGCAGATATCAGAACTGTCTTTAGCTCCTGGGATGCAAAATGTTATAATAAAAGTAAAACGATGAAAGCACGAATATTATTTATTATAAAATACTTTCTTTTCCTAATGTAATTGAAATTTCAGTATTATGTAGTGGTCAAGTAGAATGAGATGAATAATTAAAAATCTGTCCTATTACCTTGAGAAGGAGTATGGATATAAAAAAATGTAATAAACATGCCTTAACTCACATACTGAGCTAATCAATTAATATTAGAGGTAATATCAATTACTATTAAAGGTAAGATACAGAGATATGCTAGGTAATATCTTGGAAAAATGCTACAAGTGGCGTTATCGCCAATCTTGTCCTTAAATTCCCGCAGGACAATAACAGAGAAATAATGGTTATTAGTTTTATCAGTCATTCATTGTAGTTGTCTCTCACCATTATCAAACAATTCAGAGCACTGGTCATCCCGGGTGGGACATCTCCCCATGAAGCAGTAGCCTTTTGCATTTTTGCAAGGGAACCCATTTTCTTGGAATCGGTCCTTGGGACATCCAGACGAGTGGCCAGTACACACTTCAGGAAAATCACATTCATCTTTTGCTGGTCTGCATATGGATCCTGCTTTTTTCATCTATTGAAGAAAAACAGAGACTGAATCTTGGACACATTTAGGCAGGTAGGAGGAAGGTTAAGCAGGAGGAAGTTTGACCCATTTAATTCGCCTAAAAAAGGTTTTAGAAATGGATCATAACTTCTTTTTCCATTCCACTGAGAATTATTATCATTTGTAAATGTCTTGGTTTTTATTAATATAAGGAATGCCAACATGGTGTGTTTGAAATTTATTTTTAGAACAGCACTGGGGAGAGTTGGAACGAACATAAATTAGAGAGATGAGTAAGTGTTCTGTTCATCTTGTCTTCCTTCTTCCTCGCTCCAGTACTTCCCCCCACTACCACAGCACACACACAGCTGGGAGCCCCTGCCTATAAAGAGGTATCTCCACTCCCAAGAAATCAGATTTCTCCTTATAAACTAGGAAAATGCTCTGGCTCTCATTGCTGGAAGGCACTGCATCACAATGGTCTCTCATTCAGCCATTCGGCATGAATGTAATGGTGCTGAGTTCTGGAATGTTTCTAGATGAGTAAGACACACTTCCCTAATGAGCTGAAAGAAATGTCAATCAAGCTTGGACAGAGCCATTTGAATTTCTGATCGCTTTTCCTAGGAATATATCTCCATATACTAGTCACTATCACTTTCCAGTTCCAGGATAATGTTTTTCCTTTTAGTTCATTCTTGTTGGGATGGCAATTCCCCACCCCGACCCAAGCTGAAGTGGAATAGGTTGGTAATGATTTACAAGGAAGTGAGAATAATGTTAGTCATGTAACTCCACTCCTACAAGGCCAAGTGCTGCTTACTTAATTCTTCACTCCCCAGACCATAGCACTGTCCAGTTCTTAGAAACTGCGACACTTCAGAAGTGTACAATCAAGCCTAGCCCCAGTCTAGGATTAGTGGTACAAGGTCATTCAGTGGTCAGACCACTCTTCAGTTCTATGTACACTTAATAAACTGAAAACAGAGAAGCCTGATCCTAGCAAAAGATCTCACCTGACAAGACTCACAGCATCCTCCTTCTGCACAAGTAAATCCTGGCTTCAACACACACTTCTTCGCATCACAACAAGGATTACTGCACTCCTGGCAATAACCAAAAATCAAAGATCAGAAATTGGTTTGCAGTTAAACCCATGTTAAGAGTTAATTAGTTTGTGCTTTTCTGTAATTTAAATACATTGCTTGTCTTTCAGAGTTAAATACAATTGCATAATCCCTGGCTATGACATGTAAATAAAGACTACTGCTTGCTACTGGTGTGTGGGATTTTTACTTTGTTTCCTTTCCGTGTGGCTGTTCAGTACTCCAGAGCGAAGGAATTCTCACTGTCAGCATACAAAGTCCTAAGTTTGTGACCTTCCATTCTACCTATGACCTCCTTTCTCTGGGAAGGTTTTGCTGCTTCTCTATACTAAAGGTTTAGTGTAAGATAATGCAACTTCTGAAGATCTGATTTTACATTTTCCTCAAGATGCCAAGTATCTCAGGCTGACTTTTGGTTTCTTTAATGTATCATTCAGTAATAACAGCAGGACAGACATTTAGGCCCTATCTGCACAAACACAAAATTAAAACTGCAAAAACCCTGTTTGCATCCTGTCATGTAAGATACTTCAAGTGTTAGAGTAAAACTATAGGGCAAAGGCATCAATTTCCAAAGTCAAAGCCTATTCACATTTAATTTGAAACAGTTGAAGAGTAGATGTTGTAACCTCTGCACATGTCACCACCCTCATTTTGATCATGGAGTCTCTAATTGCCATCCTATGAGAGTTTTGCATAGCGTAGTGTCTAGTACATACTAAAACTGTGGTCCTTGGACCGGCAATCGCATAACCTTGCAGTTCGGTCAGAATGAAGGGCCTTGGCCCCCTCTAGACCTGCTGGATCAGATAAATATCCAAGGAGAGTCACCGAATGTCTTTTAAACAATGGGAGTTGAAAATAACCTAATTTTGAAGCTTGCTCCCCATGTTGTGTATTATGTATTTTCTATATAAACATTTATTACTTTTGAAAATAAAATTTAAATTGAGAAGAAATTTTCCAGGACTCACGTGATGAGCTCTTGAAGAAATAGCTTCTATGTTGGAGAAAAGCAGATTAAGAATCACTTTAAAATTTGCCTCAAAAGCTTATTCTAAATGTTCCAGAGACTGAGATTCCAATAAATATGTGAAAGGTTAGAAGACTCTTACTCAATTGAGACAGTTTTCTCATAACATGAACTGTCCCACTGGGCTATAGGCTCACCTCATAAGTTCCTGAGTAAAATTCTATTGACTGACTGTGAAGGATTTTTTAGAACAGCTCCCACTGTGCATGAGAAATTAGACAATGACATTGATGGGCCCTTCTCACAAGAAGAATCAGTTAACATATAAGCCAGGAAATGTGATGCTTTGGACCTCCTATAAGATCACTATACACATTTTATGACTTGGTAAGAAGCCTGCAATAAGGCTGCACCAACAGCTCATTTCCAAATGATTTAAAAAAAAAAAAAAAAAAAAAAGCACACTTTTAAAGCTTTAAAAGGAATTTCATGGTTGATTAATGGCTACATCTCTACTTAGGTTCTAGCTGAGCATAAACTTTGTAATTTAAAGCCATCATTTGTATATACCTGAACAGGGCCACAATCACATTCTTCTCCATCATCCAACTTTTTGTTTCCACAGTATGGGGAATCACTGAACTTATCAAAAAATGGAGCATTAAACATGCACGTTGGCCTATAATCCTTCAGGAATTGCATGTACCGGATTCTGTTGCACTTACTGAATTTTAGTGCAGGGGTGCTAGAAGTAGGATGAATTAAAAACACAGATTAATCATATCGATGCATACCGAACAGCTGTTAAAATTTTATAAAGAATTTAGAAAGAACAAATATAAATGCTGGACTCTAAAAGTCCATTTACTTTTTTTACTCTTTCCTTACTGCTCAAGCAGAGTGGTAAATGGGCTCTTCATTATAGAAAATGCTTCACTGAAACACAGCCAACACATGCTATTTTAATGAAAATACTCTGACTGTATACCCTCCAGAGAATTCTTCCTGAAGCCCACAGTTTAGATTGATTGTCTGTGTTTGCTGCTCCTGTATCACTTTTTATTTGTTCCTTTTGAATTAATCTATATACTTGTTTATAATAAGCAAGATTACAAACATCTCAATGCAGGGACTGTATCATGTTCAACTTTAAAAAAAATAAATAAGCGCTAGTTAACAAAGCTCCTGGCACAAAGTAGTTCTCTATAAATGTTTATGGAAACAAACTATTTATTTAATAATTTCTTACACATCCTAGGAATGCAATATACTGTACTTTTAAAAGGAAATATGAAGTTTGGAAAAACTGAACTTCACCTCCTTTTTTTTTCTTTTGTTTTGACTCTTTTGCCATTATTATCGACGTAATGATTAAACGCAGATGGACTTTTAGAGCCTTGAATACATTAGATTGTGATGGTGGGACCCCGAAAAAATATAACTAATGTAGTAATAGTACTATTACTATGTAACAATTAATACTAATGTAATAATAGTACTATTACTATATATTTAATGATGTAAAATTAGGTATCAGTTACTAAGTCCTTACTCTATGCCAGTCACTGTGCTTGGATGCTTTAGATACTTTACTTCATTTAATCAATATACAGAAGTACTGATCATCATCAACAAACACTTTTCTTTCCATATACAATGGACTGGGTGTACCCCCGTGAAAGAGTTCAAAGATGGGCAAGGCTTAGGACCTGACGGCAGGTGATTCACATGCTGGAAGGACATTGGACAGTCACTCATTCTGTATTAATGAGGACCTAGTATGTGTCTGGGGCATTTCTAGACAGTGGTGATATAACTGAACAAAGCAGAAAAAACCCTCTGACCTCAAGAAGCCTATATTCTAGTGAGGGAGTGAAATAATAGATAAACCAAATACATAAAACATAGACTCTATTAGATAGTGGTTAGTGCTAAGGAGGGGAAAAAGGTAAAAAGAGAGGGGGTGGGTAATGCCAGGGTATGTGTATGAGGGGACAGGACTGAAAAATTGGATCATCTGGCTGGTGAAGACTTTGCCGAGAATGACATTTGAGTAAAGATTTGAAGGAGGAAATTATAGCTTAGAGTGACGATGATAAAACAAAGCATATAGAGTATATTCCTCTCCTAGGCATCATGGTATAATTATGAATTGATTTTTGTGTACTTTTGCAGTATGCTCAGATGGAGTTTTAGAATTTCTCTCATTATATTATTAGGAGAGACATTAACAACTGATAAGATTTAGCCCCAAAGGGAAAACTCCTTACCATGCTTGATTTTAAAATAGACCTTCCGGGGTATAGTAGGAAAAATTCCATGTAATCACAATATTTCCATACAATATGGATTTTTAATTCAAAGCCACTCCTCACATATTGAAATGTATTCTTTATATTGTTTGAGCCTCACCTTCCACTACCATCCATCACACATCTTCCCAAAGTACAGGTACATGGGTAATCAGTATGCTGCATGCCAAGACTATGCCCCAGCTGATGTGCCATTCTGCTTGCAACTATATTTAGATCAGGTAAAAGATCCTGATGCAAAAAAAAAAAAAAAGATGTGCATTAGTAATTTCAATAAGATAGCACATTGTAGTACACAGTACTCTGAACCAGTGGTTGAGAACTGGTTCTAGCTGCTGGTTACCTGATACTTATTTGAGAGGCTACTGACTTAGTTATTGGCCTCTCCTGCGCCTTAATTATATAATGAGGTTGGACAAATGACTTTTTGAATGTCTCTAACTCTAACATTTTGTAATTCTTTTTTGTGACTTGATGATAGTCATTGTTGGATTTATACTTATTCTCATAAATAGCTAAAAATTATCAATGAATGTCCTACCTACTAAACATTCTCAGTCGTCTTCTATATACTAGATATACAAAGAGGATAAAAATAAAAATACGCCAGGTTCACGCTTTCGGTGTACAGTCTCACATCTCACAGCAACACTATGCAGTCATGAGGGAGTTTCTACTACGCAGAAAACCAGAAGGTCAGAGATGCAGAATCCAAGGCAAAGTTGATGGCTACCTCTGTTGGTAGCTCTATTTAATATTTTAATCTTTATGTTAATGAAAAATATTAATTTCCAAAAGGGGTGGCATATCAGATTACTGTAAAAGTAAAACACCCCTAATTCAGTAATTTCATCTTGCTCATTTTAAGTTTAAATTGTGTCCTGGATGGGTTATAATATCATAATTGGAGAGCTGACAGCCTATATTAGATTAGATTAATTCTTTATGCAAAATTTGTTATTAAAATGCCATAGGCAAAGCATAATCATACAAAAATCACATAATAAATAGGTCGCGAAGTTATTTTAGTAAATACTAGCTTTTAATTTCAAGGTCTTAACAACACTGGACTGAACATAGCGACAACTAGGCAGAGAAACTAAAGGAAACAAATCTAAATCTTGATGTTTTTAAAAATTTCTTTTGCTTGAACAGTATTTACTAGAAGCTTAGTGGCTTGGGAAAGGATTAAATAAACAAAGGGAGTCAGCATTTAAACATCTTATGCTTTTGGAAAACAAATTGTAGGTCCGCCCTGATATGATATTTTAAATGGTTTCTGTACTTTCTTTTCAGCACAAGTACAATTATCCTCACTTGCTAAATCAGCCACATTTTATGGACTTTACACATCCTTACATATAACTATATTTAATATACAAAAGAGCTTTTCTAATATTTGTACATTGATCTGTGTATGATGTTCTGTTAAAGTCTGAGCACTCATTTACATTCATTATTCATTTATAGCTTTTATAAAATATATATTTTTCTCATTTAATAAAGGAAATATGATAGTTTCATAATGAAATATTTTTGTGGGAATATATGACCAAACGCATACATAGTTCCTTTCAATAGGACACAGAAAATTACAGAAACTTAATTCAAACTTTTTGATTAAGTAATGTAACATATAAAAAACATAACTCACCTTAACAACACTAGAGGAATAATAGGGTAGGCACATGCCCTCTGGATAAGAAGTTCCTTGAGCATTCGTGTAGAGCCACTTCCCACTATAAACAAGATGAAATACACTCTTCAGTCTGAGCCAGTTAAATTAACACATCGAATGAATTGTGATGAATCCCCACAATGCTAGTTCTTTTGCACATGAAAGTCTCTTTCGTTTTTTTCTGGAGCTCTGGATTTGAGGATGATGTCAGTTGAAATTAAGCTCATTTTAAACCTATGGTTTATTAGAGGCATTGAGAAAGTCAATGCAATCTTAAGATGAAATCATAAAAACAAATACTTTCCAAAAAAAAAAAATAAGGTTAGAGTTCCATTTTACTTGACTTTAGTTTACCCTACACTCAGCTTTGAGTAAAACTGCATAAAAGACTAAAAAAAAAGAAATAATTAAAAATGTTCAGAGAAGAAAAAGCAACATAGTAAATGGACTCAACACCATAATTAATTAGCTGTGGTTGCAAATTTTTAAAAATGTTTAATAAGCCATAGATATGCATAGAGAATTTGATAGTTACAATCAAACATTTAAAAGAGTTATCATGTGAAAACAGGACAATTCCCAGAGTACTAAGAAAGAATGATGTAGATGCGTATATTAAAGGGATCCAAATTTGATATGCTTTTGAGAAGGACATTTAGAGTTGGAACACTTTAAAGAGAACTATTTTGGTCTGGAGGGCCACACTTGGAGTCTAATAGAGAGGATTCAAATGCAATAAAAGTTGTCAAGCTAGATGACCCCTTTCAGTTTTTAACTTTTTTGATCAAAAGATATGTTCTGTTTCTTTCTTTACCATTGAAATGGTCCCATCTTACATTTTGAAGTCTCAGTATTTGACTGTACATATTGGAGGAACTTAGAATTCTGGTCTTCCTAGACTCTGAAGATCTTGAGAGAATAACATCTATGAAGTTGAAGCACCAGAGAAAGCACAGTCTGAATCGTGACTTCGCTCATAGTCTCTTAAAACCAAAAGTCACACCATGATAATGCTACATATTGAGTTTCATCACTTCTAGATCTACGTGAATATAGAAAGGACGGCATACCTGAAACCCAATACCTGAGAAATCCCAAATATAACACCCAGCTAGACATTTAGTAGCACTTCCTCCCCCTCCCCCACCCCTCTTCTACTTGTAGACATGCTATTGATGAGAGACTTACTGCTCAGAGTAAGAGACAGTCATGGAAGTAAAAGGTTTTCCACTTACACCTATTTAAATACTTTCTGATTAATTTATTAAGTATTTTAAAACACATGTCCAAGGAATACACAAAGGGGCTGATCTTGCTCACTACGAAGGTTATGGTGTTATTTTACTTAACTCTCCCAAATTTGGGGGCCTACCAGTGCACGCATATCCAAGACCAAGCCGAGTACATGTTTCCCCTGAAAATATATGTGCTACAGGCCATCCTGGACATGAAAATCAAAATGATATTACTTTGGAGTTCTAGGTCACTCTCATCAATCAGCCAGAGGGCTGGACCCGACCTCTCACTACAAGTGAAGCTTCACAGTTCTGATTTGAGACTGAAAGTTAACATTTAGATAGTGATAGAAAACACATTTGCAGGCTGTTTGTAGACCTTAGGAGAAACACTGGTGTTATAGGTAAATGAAGTAGGTCAAGTGGGTATCTATCTTATATAGTCATTTTAAGGGCATTGGGAGAGATGCCAGAAGACTCCATTGCTCCAAACCTGTTCTTCCATAATTTAATATTCCTTACAATAACAGGACTATGTGAAATACAAGGTTGAAGTCAGTTTGACTCCACAATTATTTGTTATTCTTCTATAGACGAGGAATGTGTGCTAGGTATTTTGAATAACAAAAATGATAAAAATGCCCCCTCCTTTTCAGAAATTAATGACCTAGTATTCTAGATAAATCCAAACACTTTCTTAGGAATATTAAAGCTGTGGCAGGCTTAATTGATGAGATTCGTTATCTGTCATTTTTAATGGTAGAGAAGATGCTCGTCTCTGCTATTGGTCACTGGATGGACACACTTTGCTGAGGGAACGTGTTCAGAGAATGAGATGCTTGCCCAGAAAGGTAGGTTTTGGTGGAGTCAGAATGTCATGGTGTGGAAGGCTGAGGGGAGACAGTGTCAGAAGCCGATAAGTATATTAAGTGGATTCTAAATGTGCTATGCTTACCAATGTCAATCTTGTCCAGTAATATGAATATGTCAGATTTTTCCTTTTAGGTATTAATCACAATTAGAAAGGAAGATTATTTGAAAGTTCATACGGAAACTTTCTGTATAGTCAGATAACGTTTTGTCCCCGAGTACTATTCAAAAGTCAATTGCTTCTTTCTGTCTATGGCCATGCTACCCTGAACATGCCCAATCCCAGCTGATCTTGGAAGCTAAGCAGGGTTGGGCCTGGTTACTAGTTGGATGGGAGACCACCTAGGAAGACCAGGTGCTATAGGCATAAAAAAAAAAAAGTCAGTTGTTTTTAAAAGTATTTTGGTTGGTGTTCATTTGTTTTGTTTTCTTTTTTAATAATCCACCTAAGTTATGCAGGAAAATAGAGCAGTTACATACCTGAGCAACAAAGCATGATCAAAATTCTTCCTTTTTCTAAGGATTGTTTCTTGCCAAGCTGAAAAACGCAATAAAGTAGTTTCTATATTGGAATCTATTTCTATTTTATCTCCATTTGTCCACATTTCAAGGCCAACCAATGTAACATGAATGTCCAAGGTTTTATAAATCTGTTCAAAAAGAAATAATTTTTCACAAAGTCAAGTTGCAGAAGTATCCTTAGCATTACTACATTCTTTCACATTTTTTTTAAAAAAGTAATTTTAATGAGTAATGTAAATAAGCAAAAAGTGCAGGCCTCAAACAGTTGTATTGAAACCTAATGTGGGGTGAGGTGCCCAGGACACTGGGTGAAGGGCCATGGTCAACCAAGAAACTAGACCAAAAATATCGGATTCCTCTTCAACTATCAGAAGGCTTATAGGCACTGGGCTCAGGATGTGTTAGAATAAATAATTTAGTAAAGCTCTGAGATTATAAGTGATCTGAAAACATGATTTTACTAACAGTAGCACACAGTGGAATTAATGTTCTTTATTCATCTCTACTTTTAGGTCATGAGTTGGTTCCGTGGCAGATACTGATTTTCAAAAACCGATAGTTAGCTGCCATGTTTGTTCCTCACGTTTGATTTTTGGAACTACTTTGTTATCTAAGAAATCTTATTGAGAATTGCTCAAAGCAGGCAGACATAGTTATAGCTTATAAGCTTTCTCACCCTAATACCTATCTGCTTTTGTATACACCTAGTTGATAGATACGTTGATGCCAGGATGAAAGAAGATGGAGTTTAAACAAATACTATGAGGATTTTGAGACAAAGAACTATGTGCTATATCAATTTTATATGCCATATTAGCCAGGTTGGAAGAAAGAATGAATGGCAAACTATGAACATTGTGTTAAGAATAGAAATGGAAAGGTCACTAATGTAATATTAATAAAGAATATAAGTGGTTATTAAGAAGTTTAATATATCATTGCTAAAACAATAACCTTGTGTTGATTTTCCAATTTTCTTAACCTGTGTATTATGAATATATTGAATTCCATGTGCCAACATAACCCGACAAGTTCATTTCATAACCATGAGAATTAAATTTCTTACAAACTCTCATGAAGGCCTTTAGTCAAATCATGATCTCAGATACATACTGGAGGCTGTGATGCCCATTCTCTTTGGCCTAATCTTATGGTGGAATAAACTTCATGAGTCAGGTCCCACAGAGCAAGAATTTTTTTTAACCTGAGCGCTTTGGACTCTCTATATTCATACGGGTCTTTAGGTTGCAAGTGCAAATGAAAACAATATTTGTCATACTATGAATGTATTTTCTTCCAGTGAGAAAGCATCCTGTACAATAAAGCCATGTTTTATTGTGGAGGACAGACTATTTGTGAGGTGGTTGCTGCCAGACTCTCTAGCTAGACCCAGCTGGATCCAGGCCAGAGCAGAGATTGCTTCCTGTCAGTCCCCTCAGACTCTTCCCCCATGGGCTCTGTGGAGGTTAAAGGGCCAGTAAGGAGTGATATGACGGAAAGGGTCAAGGATTTGTGGACAATGTTACTTTAAATTGTTTGTAGTATGACGTCCCTACCTCAACTAAAAATCTTTAATAAAAGTTCAGCAAAGTGCAACAATTTTGTATTTATGCTTACTTTGCAGATGAAAACCCAAGGAAAGAAATTGATCTCTATATTTGGATCAATGTTAGAGTAGTGATAAAGACATAAGAAATAGGGGAAAGCAGAGATGACCATGAGGTATAATCATTCCACTCCACGTTGTTTCTGCCTTTTAGAAAAAGTCTTGGTGATGAGTTTTAAGTTCCATAGACATAGATTCAAAGTTCAGAGGAGTTCTGCCTCTAGCTAAGATGTATAAAATTGAAAACAATGTTGCTTCTACCATGACACACACACACAAAAGCCAGAGAATCTACAAAATCATAGCTCTTCTTGAAAGCATAAGAGAACTGAGGTAACCGGCAAACAAGTAGCCTGAAATCTAAGGAAAGAAAGTCTTCTCCTGGTGACAGAGTATGAGAAAATGAGATGCTGAGCACCGTACAAGCAGGTAAGAATTCACCAAACATTTTTAAGAAATCGATAAAGGGCAAGTGTGAGCTAGAATGAAAGTATAGGACCCTCTGGGAGACATAGACAGAAGTAATCACACCTATGTGCAGACTCTTCCTTCTCCATGGGCCTTTTCTGGATGCCTACAGAAGTGATGGGGGCAGAGTGGGGTACTGAAGATATCCTCCTGGGTGCTACAGGCCTGAAGGAGGGGAGCGACTGCTGCCTTGAAAATATCTTAAAACCTACCCGACTCTTCTCTCCTGAAGCCCTAAGCTGCTGTATGAACTTTAGTCAACTTTTTTTTTTCCACATCCCCAAAACTGAAATGAAGACCTATTGTGGATAAAAGAAGAGGAGAAGCAGGAAAGGAAACTGTCCTGAGGCCAGATCATTTGAGGTCCCCTATCCATGAAAGAGGAACATGAGCATTAAGAAATATATACCCAAAGCCCATGGGCAGGGCTTTCCTAATACCAAGGGCAGATCAGCGTAACAGAAAACACTCCAGGTCCCATAACTAGGCCAGTCACCACTGAGTGACGAACAAGAACAGATTACCACTGAAGAAGAGATAAGTAAGTGAAGGGAGGCCTTCTCTGAGCACTGGCTCTTGATAAAGGCCTGAGGTTGAGGCAGAGGCAGGAGTGATCACCCCAACAATCCAGGACCCACTCTAAATAACACTAACGGAATCTATTATAAGCAACAATAATTTATACCATACAATACTACCATGTACTTTACTAAAAATTTTATATGTCTTATTTCAAAATAACCACAAAATGATTGTATTCTACTTAAGCAACAATATCAACAACAAAACCCTGAACCAGTTCAATTTTTGACAAGATTGATTCAATCCCATATGTTAATGGCCTAGCAAGAAAAATGTACATTTCCAGGCCTAAGTTCTATTTCTCCTGTCCCTACTATCTTACACATAATGTCCAGTATCCAATAAAATATTTAAGAGCACACAAAAGAGCAAAGAAAAACAACCCACTGTTTGACAGATGAGTCAACAAAACTAGACTCAGAGAAAATCTAAATGGTGAAATTATCTGATAGGAAATGTAAATAATAATTATTAATATGATAAAGTGCCAGTGGAAAATGTGGATGCGGTAGGCAGAATCCTAACGTAAAGATATATTTAAGAATTCTTAAACATTTGGAAATTAAAATATACACATATGTAAGCACTGAATCAAAGAAGAAGTCATAAGGGGTATTAAAATATTTTTGAATTGAATAAAAATTAAAAATAAAACATAAAAAGTTGTGAGGATGAGCTAAAGAGCAATCGCCATTTAAGCCAGCATTCCCACTTAGTTGTTTACAAAAATAAACATAAAAATCTATCTGTGCATGTACATCTGTATGCAAATGTTCAAAGAAATTATATTCATTTTAGTAAAAAACTAGAAACAGATCAAATGTCCTTCAACTGGTAACCAGTGACCTAGGGGGACTATTTGTTATGCATCTTCCTTTGGGCACTCTTTATCCTAGTAATGAAGCTTCATGACTGAGAAGTCAGCAGAAGAAAAATATGTGTAATTCACAGTATTGCGTTTTAAAAAAGGTAACAGTTAATTCTATTTCAGACAAATCAATCATTTAAGTGCATTTGCCTGAAATATTTCTCCTAGTTTCTGTGTTAAAGCATGGACAATCAATTATAGTTTGAAATCTTTTTGCTACACAAGATCGTGGTACAGTAATTTAAAATAGTGGATTTAATTTATGCATGATGCGTATTCAAATCTTTGTACATTGCTTTATAAATTCTATGATTAGTGACCAATATTTGAAACTTATTTAAATATCAAAATATTAAATGTAATTTACTTAGAAAACCAAAACCTCAGACTGTGGTTCATTCATTTCTGTGAATTTCTCAATGAGTTGACGGTAAATTTTTGTGTTTTGGGCTTTCTCAATATCAGAACTACCACAAAAATTCAACAGTTTCTTTTCATTTTTAGCTTGATTCAAAATGCATAAACTCTCACCATGTTGACAAAATTGACCATTCCCCAAACTCGGTTCCTCAGTTTACCGTGATGTTTATTCCTGTGATACTGGAAATACAAATATCAGATCAATATTCATTAATAATTGGAATTGAATACAAATAACATAATACTTTACTTGTTACCAGTTAGTTCAAAGAAAATATTTTCTTGGCATTCCTTCCTTCAAGGAGGCTAAAAATCTGGGTGACTGAAGCAGAAATACATTTTTTTACATAAAATAACTAGATACAGCATTTTCTATAGACATGGTTCAACTTAGCACTCCTGTAAATTTTTCTTTATAATATTGTTTCCTTTTCACGATACATTATATTGACTTATTAAACCAACTAATAAGTGTTCTTTAGAGTTCATATTTATCATGTTGATAAAACAAAACTTATTAAAGCTCCACAGCAACCATCATATTGCAGGAAAACAGCAACTTTCTCAGCCTTCCAGTGTCCATGTTGGTTACAGACTAAGGAACACAAAATCGAGGGTAACCCTAGAACCAGAGATGTGAGGGGAGGGGCATGAAGGCGTGGTTCGCCCCTCTCTCCAGGAAAAGGCTAAGAAGGCAATGCTGACTTTTCTGTTCCAGCCTATTCTGCCTTTTGTTCTCTTCTTACAAATGGATTCTCCATTTATGCCATAAGGACCTTGTTCTCAGTATTATCAATTTAAACCTGATAAAATATACTTAATAATAATGTAAGATATCCTACTTAGATGAATGTAAATGGCCAAGCTTCTTAAATAATAAAAATAAAAAATATATATACCTTTCCGGAATCTTGCAAGTATCCTCTACTTACCATGTCACTGCTGCCCTGTTGTCTTAAATCTCTACATACCTCAAAGATATAACATTAGAATCTCTTCAATTCTCATCTTCCACCCACTCCTCAATCCACTACTCATTGGTTTAACCCCACAATTTCACTGAAATTATTCTTGACAGGCCCACAAATGTCCTCTTAATATCAACCCATTGAACACTTTTCCCTCATCTTCCTAATCATTTTGTCCATTTTAATATTGATCATTTTCTTTTTCAAGAAATTTCTTATCATCTTGGTTTCTGTTATTCTATACACTCCCAATATTTTATAATGCACAGGTTTCTCTTTTCCACCATCCCCTTAAATTCTGGATGGCAAATATGTTTTTGCACCAGAGTTTCCATCGATGAATTGCTAGGGCTTGCCTAAATTCCACAGCTGAGAGAGATTCTGAGGCTATATTAGGGACCACAGAAATAGGTATCTTATCAGTTATTGATTCCTACCCATGGATATAAGGGAGATAGATGGATATAGGGTCTTTGTACTCTTACTTCCAAATCTTTATAGAATTAGTGTTCTTCAGGATTCAGACATTCGTGTTCTGCTTTCTCTTTCAACCTGCTAGCTCTGAGTGTACACATCCATAGCCTCACTCTGTTTAACTGCTTAAAATGCATCATATTGCCTTCGAGATATGTGAAGTCCTCAATATGTTTTCTAAAAGCTGTCTTTGTTTTTTCTATTCTGTTTTACCAAAATACCCTAACTGCGCTTTGCTTTTGTTGTCATGTTCTTTATAGTAATGTGTGTGTGTGTGTGTGTGTGTGTGTGTGTGTGTGTATTTAATACTCAGAACATAGCATAGTGGATATTCATTAACTATTTGCAAATTAAAACGGATAATTTACCAGAGGAATTTCTCTGAAAAAAAGAAGCCCTTAAATATTTTAAGACAATAATAAGGCAGCATGTATGAGTTATGCATGTAAAACCCAGTTTAATGCACCTAAAATCATATCAAGCAAACCTTCACCTGGTATCTGGGGTAAAATGTTAAATTTAATAGATTGCTTTTATTTATTGTTAATAAATTAAGAACAAAACTTGTCTTAGCATTCTTTTTAAAAGTTAGTTAACATGTTCTCACCAACATGCTAATGTAGGTCTATTGTTTAGTGCCTGAAATTTATTAGTTTCTATTTGTTTTAATTGTTAGGTTAATTGTAGTTTCTCCTGTTTTCTTTTTTTAGTGTGCAACAATGCTGTCTTTTCAACTATCATAGATCTTATTTATTTTCTCTTATTACATTGGATAGGAATTTCGATAAATATGTTGAAAAAATCTATCGATGATAAACAGATGTATCCTATTCACAATTACGTTTAATGTTTACACAGAATAAGATCTTGGTAAATATTCTTCATTTTATTGCATTTCTTATTTGCTAAGAGTTCTATTATTAATGTTGATATATATATAAAATATTTGAGATGATTACATGGTTTTTAAAAATTATATTAACTATAATAAACCATTGTCATGAAGATGTTTTTATATGTGATGAATTAGGTTTGCAGATATTTTTTAGGACATTTGTAGTTATATTTATAAGTGAAATTGGCTTATAATTTTACTTAATTCTCTGGGTTTATTATCAATGTCATCATAGATTGTTACAATAACAACCTTCTAGGGAATACTACTATGACAGAGATTTTCTAACTCGTTTTTAGCACTTGGAGATTTCCTGTGTTTCCTTTGGAGCTCAACTATAGATTATGAATATATTTTTATTGTTTATATGTTGTTCAGCATTTTCACATGTTTGTGTAGGGACGGGTGGTTCTATTTTGGTTCAGGCTGCTACGCTGCCACAGGACCCTATTGTCTTTTATATAAGTCTGTCTTGGGAAACTAAAAACAGAACTTTGAGACCAGGATGAAATTCTGATTAAAATGCCTTTTTGTTATTGTTGTTAGAATCACAGCTATACTATTATAAGGATGAATAAAGAGCAAAAGTTCTTCTTAAAACTTACCACGTTATTATCAGCAACAATGAATAGTTCAACATACTTTTCTGTATGGATAACCTGGAAATTTATGAAAAATTTAATGAAGAATGGTTAATATTTCTTATCTTAATATTTTAAGCTAAAAATTTTAAGATAAATGTTAATATCAAAACAGGAATGTGAAGTATAGAAGTATAGCTAATAATTTTAAGAATTTATCTAAATAAAACCTCTTGTATTATTAAAACATGTGGTCCTATACATCAGATTGTAATAAACCTGAAATAACATTCCATATTTGATTATCCTTTCTTTCTTTGTTTCATTTTTCAAATAAAATAAGAGTTATAAAGAATTATGAATTCAGTTTTTAACATTTAGTTTTTTATTTACAAAGTAAATGCTTACTAAGTAAGCTCATGTAAAAAGCGCCCATCTATAGTTTAAAGCTAACACTTAGGATATTGACTAAAAGGAATGACCGTTTTCCATTTACTCCTGCCTCTCTCTTAAAATCTCCTATGTTGCAGTAGTCTCAGAAAGGAAACGTGTTTTATAAAATATCTATAATATGCTAATAATTAGATCTTTTTTAAAAACAGCAATATTAAGAAATTGTAAGTTTTCAGCTTTCGATGGCATGCACTGAGGTACATGCATATTCTCTGAGTCTGAACTAAGAGCATATGGTTCAAAGATTTCACTAAGTCATTGAGACAAACTGAGATTTACTGTAGGAAATGAACACTTTCTATGTAGATAACGAATACAAAATTTGACATTTCAGATTTAAAACAATAAAGAGTCCGACTCAGATAGTATTTACACTTCATTCATTGGGCTCATAATCTCTCTCTTGAGGTCATAAAGGAAAGAAGAGGCATTTTACTAGAGGAAAAGATAATTTTTATCCAAGGAAAAATAAAGCACTCACTCCCATTTTGATGTCCTCCATGTATTTACTATTATTGTTTGGAACAGTTGTCCTGGTAAAATTGAGCTCTGTACAAGAGTGATTGGCAGCATACTGCATCTTCGGGTTATATTTGAACACCAAATGTTCTCCTTCATCTGAATATTTCACTGGTTCGATGAGATACCTTTGGTCGTATACCCTGAAGAACCCCCTGTGGAAATTGAGAATACAATGTGTATTTAAGACTTTTTACTATTGCATTACTATACAATACTATTTTATTTCATTTTTATTGACTTTGCTTTTTAAGAAAGGAAACTATAAGGCCAAGAGCTCATGAACACGTAGCCAGGTGTTCAGAGTGATAAAGAAATGAGATGACATGTGGACTTTGACTGAATTAACAACTTTTTGCGAGAGTCAGCTCGTCTGGGTTTTCAGAAGTTTGACAGCCCAATCTCCACTTTGAAGTATAGCTAGAATAGTGATTCCCACCTGGAGTTGTGGAAAACTGGGCAAGTCTCAGGGTTCTTGCAACATGTTTTAAATTTTTATGTCTATCATGCATTAATCATAAATATATGAAAGTACAGATACTAGTATGTGGTAATTTTGTCATCGAAGGAGTTATACTTGAAAATTTTGGAAACTACTCAAGTCAAATCCTCATCAATGAAGATCGAAGTTTCTTGTTCTACCTTTTGCTTCCTCACACCTTCTTCTGTCCTTGAGCCAAATATCTATGGAGAACATATATAGGCTTTACTTTTGATGTTTTACTTTCTAGAGACTGGAAACACTGTGAAGCATTGTAGTGTGGTGGGAATTTAAAGGACTAGAAGTCAAGAGGTCTGGATTGGACTTAATTCTACCACAAGCAATTTGAATGTTCACGAGCAAGTCTCTGATTTTAGTCCACTGATCTGTAACATGAGAGGATGAGACAGGCTAAATTAATCCCAGTAGTCTTCTAACTCCGAATCCCTTTATCATATACTGAAAAACTTGTCTTGCTTGGGGCTGGGCATTAGACATCTTTTTGCCAAAAGTGAACATAAACAATGGGGCTAGAGTGGACACTCATGCTGAAAATATATAGTAGCTTTTCCTATTAATTTTTCTATGTACCAGGGTTGTTAAGAAGAAAGATGAGAAGTGAATTTCTTTGAAAATCCATAGGAAAACATAAAGAAAATAGAAAGATACTGTGCAGTACCTCAGACCATTACATGTGCTGATACTGGCAGCAGAATCATATTCATGTATAATGGATCCTTGGTAAAAACAGTGATCCTAAAATAAAGAGGTTATTGATGTAAGCACGTATATTGATGTTATATAAATAAAATATCTACATATTTTGTTACAGTATATCAGTATTTCATTCTCACAAATTATGCTATATTCACTCATGTATTCATTCTCTGCATTCTTTTATTTGGAAAAATTTTAAACTACTTTAGAATCCTTTTATTTTAATTGCATGATTACTTTCTATAAAGTAGTATGTGGATTTAGCTCTCACAAATTTAGCAGTCTGTTAGCTGATGACACCAGACTCAGAAATATGACCCTTTTCTTTAGAAATATTACTACTTAAATCCACCCTAAAATTTCTACCAAGCTCCCTCTCCTGTGTTATTATAATCTCCCCCAGTTGAGTTGCCTGTGAAATCAAGCCAAAGTTGTTGATAATTGCGAAAATTAGGTTTATCTTCCAACCATGTCTCTTGCTTCTTTTCTCCTTCAATTAAGTTGATATCTTTATCACTCTCTACTTGGTGCTCTGCTCATGATGATTCCATCAAGTAATTACTCTTTCTATCATTTTCATCTGGTCAACTATCACCTATATGTGATACTTTCTATGGTCCTCCAGGGACCTCGGACCCTCACAAGCCAATAATTACCCCTTGCATGAAATAATATTACCTAGTTTTCTTCCTGTTCTATTTTATAAAGATTACATGATGACTTGGATTTTATAGTTGACAGCTGCCTTAGAGGAAACAGGTTTTAAAAAGTATACTTTTGGTAAGAAAGAATAATGTCATTGTTGGATAGGCTATAGAGGGCATGTTTTGGAAAGAGAAATAAAAGAGTTATAAAAAATAGAACCTGTATCCACTGGAATAATATTCATGACAAACAAACAAAGATTCATTTAGAGAATGAAGGCAAGACCTCAATGTTGATGCATCAGAAAAAACTGGGCAAGCGGATGTGACTCACTTAAGGGTCAATTAGATAGAGGTTTTAAAACTGTGTTATGTCTGTAGGTTTTCTCCATTTAACTTAATTATAACCTCATCAGGGTGCCTTATACTCCTTTAGTTTCCTGCTTTATACTTCCTTCAGACTTAATATCATTGTGAGTACATAGAAGTCAGTTTAATAAATAAAAATACGTAAGCGGTCATTGATTTGCTTGTTAGGCAGTGCTTAGGCTCCTTTACATTTCAGAGGGTCCTATTTTCTATTCTAAAATCATTCGATTACAGTAGTCAAGGCAGGATTAATTTCTGTTGTAACACTTTCTGAAGCTGCTTGTAAAGCTGGAATTGGGTTTCAAAATCACATGAAGAAATGATAGTTTCAGAGAAAAGACAGAGGAAGATTCCATGAGATACCATGATCTGAGGATGCCTAGTGATCTCCCCTCCTTTTGTGGAATAGTAGGTTTCACTGTAATTCAAGGCTAGGAACTCCCTGAAAAAGAAGACAGAGAGGTTCTGAGATTTACTCATTCTGAAAAGTTATTAGATAAAAACAATTATATGAGAGAGAAGCCTCCAGGCTGCTTTCAAATCTCAGAGAGGTCTTCTATGTTAAAAATAGATAAGCAAAATCTATCCCACTCACACAAAAAGCCTTTCTACCTAGATTTCTTGGTTTGTTTAAAAATTATAAGAGAAAAAGAAAAAGATTCTGGCTGTTTTAGTAAGGCGGCATCTTGAGAAGAACCTAGAGAAAATATTATCTGAGTAAAAATCTCTTGCCTTAAGAGTCAAAATTAATGCAAAAAAATTATCTCATTAGAGATTGTAGAACCTGGAGGAGAGAACAATGTCAGCATCATTTGCCAAAAGAAATAAAATTTCATCAATTTATAATTTTATATTCAGCAAAAAAATAGCCTTCAAGAAAGAGGGAAAAATAAATGCCATTTCAGATTAAACTCTTATAGTTCATATATAGGAATTTGGGTAACAGAAATGTGCATTTGTCAAAACAATAAATGTATACAATTTATGCATTTTATTGTATAAAATTTTTATATCAAAAGAAAAAACATAAATATTAGACTCTAATGATATGCATGCTTAAATATTTAGTGGGAGGTATATTGATGTCTGCAATGTAATTTAAAATGCATAAAAATAATGGAGGATGAATGAATGAATGGATAAATGTTGGATGGATAGACAAGCAATTGTGATATAAAATAAGCATAATAAAATGTTAATGAGTATATGTGTATATATATCTTGATGTAATATATACATATAGGTATATGTATATATTAACGGATATATAAATGTTTTCTATAAAATTCTTTCAACTTTGTTCAATGTGTAAAAATTTCTTTATAATGAACTGTAAAAATAGATACAATAAGTTAAGTAGAATACAATCATTTTATGGTTATTTTGAAATAGGATATATAATATTTTTAGTAATATGGTAGTATCATATGGTATAAATTAATGTTTCTTTTGCCTCATACACACATACAAATAGAACTTTTCACCTATTAATGGATTTATTATAGTGAAAACAAAGTTAATTTGATCAATGTTTCCACTGGATGAATAAACAATCTAATTTAATATGGTTGGCCTATGAAGGTTTACCTCTATTTCTCAACATGATCTTGTAAAATGACTATTATATAATTATATATACATAATATACAATATTATATAAAATAAGTATGATAAAAAACCAAGTCAAAACTCATTGAGAAAATATGGAGAAAAAAAGTAGTTATGGAAAAAAAGACAAATAAAATCTAAATTAATAAAATCAGGTTTCCGTTTGTTACCATATCATATGTCAATCTCTGAATAAATAATATTCACAGATTTTGGAGGCTCTGTGGTGCGCACTAAATTTACTTACTTTGTGGAGCTAAGGGAACGAGAGTAATGTTCACCAGAGATACAAATATCATATTAAACTGCTTTCGTGTTTACGATTCTATAACATACCAGTCTGAGCTTATTAGCAGGATTAAACAATATAAAATTGGCTACTTGAGGCATAAGCAGCAAGGGGTAACTTCGAAAGTAGACAGATCTGAGTTAGAGTATCAGTATTGTCACCTGCATTGTAACCCTGGACAAGTTCTTATTTAGGTAAACTTTTGATTTTTCCTTAATAAAATGGAAATAAAACAATATTGGCTTTATATGGATATTGTAGGAATTAAGAGATAACTGGAGAAAGGCTCAATAAATGTTAGCTTCCTTCTATTCTGAGAATGTCAGAATATGCAGAGTCTGAATAAATTATTAATATAGTTATGTTATTAGGTTTTTTATGTTTCTGTACATTTGTCCAGTGGGAGACTCAGTGTAGAGGAATTTTTTATATTATTTATTTTATTTTTATTTTATTAGCTTATAGGCCAGAGTCTCAATTCTTCAATAAAGTTATCCTTCTCTTTGAGCATTTGACATTTCTCCATGATTTTAATGCTTGGGGCCGAGAGGCAGAACTATTGTATGTAGAAATACACCAAAGAAAAAAAATGGGAATTCAACAACCACAATGGAGGTGGTGAAGAGAGCTATTATTTATTTTATTTTTATTTTATTAGCTTATAGGCCAGAGTCTCAATTCTTCAATAAAGTTATCCTTCTCTTTGAGCATTTGACATTTCTCCATGATTTTAATGCTTGGGGCCGAGAGGCAGAACTATTGTATGTAGAAATACACCAAAGAAAAAAAATGGGAATTCAACAACCACAATGGAGGTGGTGAAGAGAGCTAAAGAAGAGAGGTAAGGGCACTGAAATTATTTAGCTCACGCAAGATAACTCGATGAAGAAAATTCTTTCCAGTTCTTAGCTTACTCTCCAACAGAACTTGGTTTGATATCTATTTTAAAAAACTTGCGTCACTTTAAGAACCGTGATTTTCAAATTTCTTTTGTCCCACTGATTCGCAAAGTGGTAATGTATTAACTGGAGCTCAAAGAACTCCAGTACCCCAACAAGGAGTAATTTAGGAACTGGAGAAGCATGTCCATAATTGTTAAGCTGTTAAAATGAGATGGGCTTACATTAGACAAGTAAGAATTCAAATTATATACAGATAACAATGACTTAAGGAATTCACTGGCTGTTTTTACCAAAACTGAGGTATAATAGATTAATAAATCTGTAAGTTTTTGAATCATAATAGAACTTACCTTGATCTTAAAAGATGAAGTATAAAGCTTTTTCTACTTAGACTTATTTCATACAACAATTCTTCTTCATAAGTTTCCTGAAAAACAATATCCGTTACATGACTTAAATATGTGCTCAATTAGTGTGTATTGGGTGGGTGGAGGGAAAAATTACAGGTTTTTCACAGTCTACCCAGCAGCCCAGCAGTCCTTTTAGTCAAAATGATTAATACTGATAAAGCCAAATTTATAAGAAAGCTAATACATGAAAGATTTTGCTTTCAAGCTATTCTTAATTTTTTTTGATGGACTTTTTCTAGTTATAAAATAAAGTAAAAGGAAATGAAAAAATGCATATTGTCCACTTATCCGAAGACATACAAGTTACTCTATGTCCTTGCAGTTCTACTGAATCAGTAAATCTTCTGTTGATGTGTTTTAACAATTTTGTGTACACTCTTTTATAGCTTATTTTTTTATAGCTTACGTATCTTCACAAGAAAATAAATCATGACCATGATCATGTTTCTATTGTAATAAATGTTCATTTATAGTATATGTTTTATGCCTGAGAAGCACAATGTGAACTTATTAAATCTACAACTATATCAGAAATTTGATTTAAATTATTCACTATGGTTAGAATTTCATTGTAAACAACATGGAAAAAATGTAAAGGTTTTGGTAAATGATAATCAGATAACCATAAAGAACAGAAATACAAATTAAGAATTCATTAGAAATTTATAGCAGTTCTTGTTTTCTTGCCTTAAATATTGTCATTAATAAAGGTCTTTCAAATAATAAAATAACATGAAGTGAAAATTTTTCTTTGATAACAATTGGAATTGATATTTTCTTTTGTCTATTTAGTTACTGGTAGATTTGTATACAAATCTCTATATCCTTTCACCATTTTCTTTTCTGGCATTTTATTTCTTTATGATTCATAAAAATTCTTAATAACTTAAGGATTTACAGTTCTAGGCCATATATTTTATGCATTTCTTTAGTTTATTTATGGTTCATTTGTTTGTTTGGATGTACATTCACTTATTTATTTGGGCACAGTGATAATATGGAAAATACAATAGTGTATAAGTTAGAGGTCACTGCCTTCATGGAAGCTACAGATTTGCAAAACAAACGAACAAACAAACAAATATAAGAATATTATAAGCATCATAATAAGAGAAATGCAGTGACTGTATCAGGAATATTGAAAGAAGTCAGTGACTGACAACAGTACATGCAAAGGTCCTGAGGTAGGAAGGAACTTGACATGTTTGAGGAACAGAGAGACATTCAGTTCTGCTGGAAAGTCAAGTGTAAGATGAGTAGAAATGAGAAATGAAAAGAATAGGAAGGAGACAAATTTTATACAGCCTAATAAGTCACTTAAGAGGATTTAGGCTTTATCCTAAGGGCAAAGAGAAGTAAAAAGTTTAGGCAGAAAAATACAGAAGTATGGTGTTTTAGGTGGCTTAATTATTATGGACAATGGATCAGCAGAAATCATGACTGCAGGCAGAAAAAGCACTTGAAGGATGTTGATAGAATACAGGTGATTTGGGCAGGGGAATGGCATCAGGAATAAGGAAGAGTAGATAATTTTGGAGACTATTTACATGCCAGAATCTACGAGGCTTAGCGATTGATGGGGAATGCAAGAAGAGAGGCACCAAGGATTACTTCAGGTGTCTGGCTGGTTTATGCATGCCACTGCCTCGAGGAGGATCTTCTGACTAGGGGTGGCTTTGAGGGAAGGAGAGGGGAGTTTTGTGTTTGGTGAATATGAAGTGTGCATTCGTCAGGGCTTTTCAATTGCAAGTTTAACATAAAAACTGAACTTTATTATAAAGACACCGTATTCACGGTGGGTAGGCAATAAACAGCAGTTCAGTCAATAAGAAGGGTTGAATCCCACTCTGTAACATGATGACCTTCATGTGTAGATATGTGTGTGTGGAACAGAATGGTATAATGAAATATTTTTGAAATTTGAATGTTTGAATATAGATTTTATACTACCTAATATTGAGAAACTATTTTTAATATGGTCAAAGGTGATAATATTACCTTTAATCTTGTCATTGATATTGTGTCCATAAACAGAATTTTTAATTTCATTTTTTATTTTAAAATTTTATTTATTTTTAATTCATTTTAAAATTTATTTTTTATTTTAGAATCATCTTAGATTTAGAGAAAAATTAGAAAGGCAATACAGAGAATTTCCACGTACTCCACCACACAGGTTTCCATTGTGAGATCTGACCTTACTATGGTATATTTGTCACTACTAATGAACCAAGATTGGTATTAGCAGTTAAAGTCTACACTCTCCAGATTTTTTTAGTGCTTTTGTCTATTGTCCTTTTACTGTTTTAGGATCTCATCCAGGACACCACATTACATTTAGTTATCATGTCTCTTTAGGATCCTCTAGACTATGGCAGTTTCTCAGATTTTCCTTACTTTTATTTATTTTATTTTATTTTATTTTATTTTTTATTAGTTTCAGATGTTCAACATAGTGATTAGACATTTATGTAAATTACAAAGTGATCCTCCTGATAAGTCTAGTACCCACCTGACACTATACACAGTTACTACAATATTATTGACTATATTCCCTATGCTGTATTTCACATCCCTGTGACTATTTTGTAACTACCAATTTATACTTCTTAATTCGTGCAAATGGTAAGATTTCACTCAGCCATGAAAAAGAATTTCCTTCTTTTTGATGACCTTGACTGGTCAGGTATTTTGTAGCCTGTTCCTTAATTTAGGTTTTCATGATAATTTTCTTGTGTTTAGATTGCATTATGGAGATTTTGGAGAAAAAAAATAAAGCACCATTTTCATCACACTGTAGCAGGAGTGTGTACTAATGCCATGACTTATCTCTGATGTTGTTGACCCTGATCACCTGGCTGAGGTAGCATTTGACAGCTTTCTCCACTGTAAAGTTATACTTTTCCTCCTTTCATATTTTATTCTTTGGAAGGAAGTCACTATACACAGCCCAAGCTTAAAGGATATGGAGTTATGAATCACCTCTTGGGGAGGGGAGTATCTAATCAATCCTTTTATTTCTGTATGAGAGATTTGTCTATTATCTCCCATTTATTTAAGTATTCAATTATTTATTTATATCAGTATGGGTTTATGGATAATAATTTATACTTTACGTTACAGTCCAAAACTATGTTATTAATTTTGTCGCTCAAATTATCCCCTCTTTGGCCATTGGGAGCTCTGTCAGTTGGCTCCTGTGTTCTTTTAACGTACTCCCATAAACATGGGTTTGGGGGGTTCTGTTCGTTTTTTTGAGAACTTCCTTTCTTTCTGGTACTACATGGTGCTCCAAACTCATCTTGTATATTTCCTGCCCCAGTCCAGTCATTCTGTGCGTTCATAATAGGACTTTTAGTATCAGTCTTGATTAAATCTTCAGGCAAAAGATGTCAGAAGAGCCCACCAGCCTTTCTACAATGGGTGGTGGAAAGTTGGTTTCACCTTCTTAGCTGAGCACCAACCTTCAACCAATAAAAGGCATGAGAAGGTGAGATGAGATCAGCAGAAAAACTATTTGTAAGTTGACTTTTAGAGAAAAATGATTACACATTATTTCCAAATGGCAGCAGATGAAGAGTTGCTTTTTTATTATTGCAAGCCATGTGAAAGCGGCCTCAATAGGACCATTTGGAAAGTTGAAATGTGTCTCACTTATGATGGAGAATCCTAGCAAGTGAGAGCCTGGAAGGCTGGCTCCTCCGATGGAAAGAAAAGGGAAGAAAAATGAAGCCATTGTGTTGGGGAAGGTTTGTACTCCCAACGAGTGTTGTAGCAAAGTGACAGTCAGTATTCTCCATGGGCCAAATTAAAAACCTCAGTCTCTAAGTGCACGTGTTTAATGATAAATATCTAAGGATAGTCCTTGAATGTCTTCTAAACAGTAGGAGTTGAAAATAACCTAATTTCAGAGCTTTATCCCTATGTCGTGAATTATATATTTTCTATATAAACATTTATTACTTTTGAAAACAAAATGTTAACTGTTTTAAAATTTTAACACCTGACTAAATACCCTTGTAAGCAACAAGCTAAGTAGGCCTTTATTGTTCCCGTGAAACTTGTCCAACTTTGCTGCAGAATCTGCAAGATAAATAAGCCTGCACATCAGATCACTGGGAAAGTAAAATACTCAGATATTATAGCACACGAGGAACCAGCTCAGAACAAATAAGGTTGCCTTACATTATCCTAAAAAGCTATGGACGGAACGCCTCACATAAACTGGAAACTTTTAAATGGCACCTCTAAAATCTGAACTTTACGCTTTTGTTTTATAATCTGTCGAGGGGTTGCTTTCCCCTCACCCCTTAAACCCCACCCGCCCAAACACAGGCTGTGAGCTGATTGGGAGTCCTCAGAAAAACTGAGACTCCTGTCTTGTTTGCTTCTGATTAGAACCAGAGGTTGTTTTCCACATGCCTAGGAAAGCAGTAAGTTTTATTTATTATTTCAAAATCGATACCTGAGTGTCATAGTCATGGGTGTGCCAAACATCTCGCTTCTGTACCACAGGAAGTTTTTTAGGGTAAACCAATTCTTGACCCTCTACTCCAAGTATCACCTTTTCTAAAAGGAAACAGAGGGGGAAATCACACCTAGCATTGTTAACAAACACCCACAGCGACTGGATAACAGAATTATTCTTACAGAGTTCCCTTGTTCTCAGTTAGTAACCATGCATAGCAACACTGTGAAATAGTATCCCCACTTTTCAGGTAAGGAAATTGAGACTGTTAGTTCCAAATTAGAAAAATAGAAGCAAAATTGGAAAGCAGGCAAAGAAATCAGGATCCTTTAGCTTTTCATCTTGTTCTGCGGTTGTCACCTCTGTCATCTTATTCTTTTCATACCTGTCTCTGGATTCTGCCACCTTTCAAAGCCTGCCCTGGAATGTACTGTTTCAGTGGAAATCGCTGATTTTATCTCCCAGGGATAGTTGCATTTGAAGTCTTAACTCTCACAGCTAAATATAAGCCTTTATTTGTTAAAATGATTTTAAGTACTCTTCGATCAGTACTCAACATAATCTACTACGCATTTTCTGTCACATGGTTGAGCCCTGCTTACCTCACTAAAGAGTGATAGAGAGGAAAGAACACAGGAATTTGGAGTCTGCTCTTGTTTGAATCAAAGTTTTAGCAGTTCATTGGCTCTGTGACGATGAGCAGCATATCTAATCTCTCTGATCTGTACATATTAGTCTCAATTTCCTTACCTGTACAATGGAGATAATAAATATAGAATTTTAAACATGCTAATATACAAAGTGATTAACGGCTAGCACAGTGTCTGCCACATTACCAATATTCAGTAATGGGTACCTCTTCTCCATCTCACTGTAAGTCAGAGTATTTAAGAGTAATATGGCATTTCATAGAATCAGAGAATCTGAAAATTAGCTGTAATCTAGTCCAAGCCCTATTCTATGTTCTTAGAAAAATCACCAATGGGTTTTCCTGTTTTTATCATTTACAATTTAAACTTTGTGACTAAAGAGACATTACCTCATAACATAAGAAAAACCTGATAAAAAGATTAAAACATACCTGTAATCTGAGAAATGAGTAAAGTCATGAAAAATAAACTCCCGAGAAGCATTCTTGTAGAAGAGGGACACACAGGCTTGAGAAAAAAACATGCACAGTTCTTCATCCCTGCATCCACAGCAAAGATGAAGGATCTAACAGATAGATAGGCAGTTTTGATCAGGCACAAGGAAGTGTTCCTTGATCAAGTTACACAATTCATGAGATGCTTGAGGCTAAAACCTGGAGGGTGGACATCATGTCCTAATTAAAGGCAACCACTGAGGTGGTGGTGATGGTGCTGGTGGAGGTGAGCTGGGCAGAGTTGCCTACTTCATGCCTACTATAAATATGGTTCCAAGTGCATTAAAAATTCAAAAGTAAAAAGAGAATCACGTATGCCTTAGAAAAAATGATTAAAGAGTGTTTATGAAAACTTTGGTTGAAGAAGGTCTTTCTATGCAGAATGCCACATGCCACATGTAGAAACTAGAAAGAAAAAATTGATAAAACAAACTAGATAGAAATACTTGAAAACTTTTATTTTCTAGCTTCTAGCTAAATAAACAATTGGGCTGTAAGGGGCACGAGGATAATGGCCTTTAGAGTCTGTGTGAAACACAGGATGTAGATTCTTATTCCAACCCAGAGAATCATTGAGATGACCAGAGAAAATGAGGGGAAATAACTTATTTTCTTTCTTTCCATTTTCATTGAGATGCAATTGACATAGAGCACTGTGTAAGTTTAGAGTGTACAGCGTGATGATTTGACTGACATACATTGTGAAATGATTACCACAGTAAGTTTAGTTAACAGCCATCATCGCATATAGATAACAAAAAAAGGAAAAGAAAAAGATATGATTTTTTTTGTTGTCGTTATGAGATCTCTTAGGATCTACTCTCTTAAAAACTTCCCTATATATTATTCAGCAGTATTTGCTGTAGGCACCATGCTGTACCTTACATCCCTAGGATTTATTATCTTATAACTGAAAGTTTATACCTTTTGACCACCTTCATCCAAACTTATTTACAAAAACTTATTATGTGATAAATGACAAATTATTTTAAATTAAAAGACAAATACTTCAGAATTATATACAACATATATCATAAAAGGTGAGAGTAAATATCTTGTAACATAGAACTCTTTCATATCAATGCAAAAAAAGAGGGCAATTAACAAGCAAATGGGCAAAGACCTGTACAAATCTACCTGTATGTCTCTGTTCTGTTGGAAGAGATATTCCTGTGCCAATACGATCCCTTATCTGTGTTTGGCATTCTATCCCCTTCCCTATTCACATTATTGATTATCTCTCTAGTAGTCCTGTAAACTAATCTATGACAATTGGAAACTTTCTTTTGATATTTAAATGAGCTCGAGTCTTTCCCTTTCAAAATATCCTATCCTCAATCCTCTAGTTCACAGGCCCCTACGATTACCTACTTTTTCATTCCTTTTTCAGCTAAACTTCTCACAAAGTTTATAATTCTCGTGGCAATTTTCTCACTTCCTGCTAATCTTAACACATTTCACTCTGGCATTTGCCTTTATTATTCTGCTGAGTTCACAATTTTCTATATCCAATGGGTATTTTGGTTCCTCGTCTTGCCCTCTCAGTAATATTTGGCACTGTGGACCATGCTCTCACCCTTGAAAAATTCTATCCAGCTCCCTTGATACACAGTCTTCTTAACTCCTTCCTAGATCCCTGGCAGCTGGTGGGCATATCGTCTTTTACCCAAACTTTAAATTTTGGTATTCTCAAGGTATTAGCTCATACCCTTTTTTATCTCTAACTGCATGCTTATTCCAAACCATCCCATCTTCAGTTATTGGTTTAATTATCATCTTCATGCTATGATTCACATTTTACATGTCCAGTCATCTGAGTGATAGATCTTTACATAGCCAACTCTCTACTCAATATCTTCATTGGGAAACTTCAAAGCCCCTGCAAACTCAATATGTACAAAACTTAATGTATGCCCTCCCACTTGTTTTCTGTCTCAGTGATGTCCTCATTTATTCCACATTGCAACTCAGTAGTCATCACTGATAGTGCTCATAATCAAGCCATCCCTAAAATAAAATATGTTGATTTTACCCTCGAAAAACATCTCATCTACTTTTCTCCATCTCTTCTAGCACAAGCTACCACAAACTACATTTGGCTATGCTCCAACAAGTGTGATCTTTTCAAAGTGCAAATCTGATCATGTCATGTGCCCGTTGAAAATGCTTCAGTAGTTTTTCACTGGTGTTAGCAATTAAGACTGGGCTTTAAAGCCTCACAACATAAATTGCCTGCCACTTTTTAACTCTGTGGCTTTGGGCAAAGTATAAAATGTCTCTGTACTTTTGTTCTCTCATCTATAACACGGGTATAATAATAACATGTATCTCCTACGGATGATGTAGTATTAAATGACTGTGCTGACAGGCAGTCTCACATTCCCTGTGAGATTCACTCTCCTGTACTCTTAGTTGACTATTTTAAATCCTCTCTTCTCTCCTCAAATCTCTATTTCACCGACCAAAAAGAAGTCATCGGAAGAAAAAAATTTCACTTTCTCCAATTATCACATCTACCTTATTATCATAATATGTGCCAAGATAAACTAATTCTCTCCTATTTCTTTGGATGTACTGTCCATGCCTCTAAGGTCTGCCCATCATGAATATATTGTATGCCATTCCTTCTTGCCCCATCCCTATGACATCATCACTGCATTTGTTTTCTTTTTCTACTGTATCATCTCAATTAGTATATATACAAACATGCCGCCATTTTCTATATTTTTAAAAAAAGCATTCTTCTTTTACTTCACTCTCCCCTCTACCCAGTTACTATCTCATTCTTTAATTCTTTTAATAATATGATTTCTTAAAAGATGAGTATACCTTTTGTCTTCAGTGTTTCTCTCCCCATTTGGTCTTGTAATTAACTCCAGTTAAACTTGTTGTCTTTCACTCAATAAAACACTTCTTGTCAACATTACTGATGACCTGCACCTTGATATGTCCAGTGGTTGATTCTCCATCTTCACTAACTCGACCTTTTAGCAGCATTCAATACAGGTTGTCACTTCCACTTTGGAAGAGTTCAGCTCATGGTACACCATGGATTTCCTCATGCTTATTTACTGCTCCTTCTGAGTCTCCTTTGTTGGACCCTCTTCCTCTTCCCAGTGTCTAAATATTTCAGATTATTAGGGCTCAACTCTAGAAACTTCTCTCTTCCCTATTTACAATCACTAATGAAGTGATTCTTGTCTTATCTCATGGCTTTAAATATCATCTGGAACATGATGGCTGCCAATTTTATTTATTTAACCCAAACTTCTCTGAATATTAGACCTATAGAAGCAACTGTCTTTTCAACATCTTTGCTTGAATATCTAATAGATACCTCAAACACAAGTACAATGTTGAATTCCTGATCTTCTGGAATTTCCTGGTATTTCCACAATGCTTTTTATCTTAGGGCATTACAACTCCATCCTTTCATTTACTTGGGAGTGATCTGTGATTCCTCTTTTTTCTCGCCTTGCATCCCATCCATCAGCAAATGCAGTTGCCTCTACCCTCAAAAGACATCTAGAATCTAACCACCTCTCACCACATTTACTGCTGCTGTGATGATCCAAAACATCATCTCTAGCTTACTTTATCAAAACAGGCTTTTAATTGACCTTACTGTTTTGCTTTTAGTCCCTCATAGTGTGTTATCTACACATCATCTAGAATGATCTCATTAATATACATCACATTATGTGATTCTTCTGCTCAAACATTGTCAGTGGCTTTCCATCTCAGAGAAGTAGCTGAAGACCTACTAGGCTCTACATGATTTAGCCTCTGGCTTCATATATCACTACTCTTTTCTTCACTCACTCTAATCTTGTCCCCTGTGTCCTTGCTGTTTATTGAACATGCCAAGAACATTCTGCTTTAAAGGTCTCTGTTTGCTGTTCCTTCTGCCTGGGGTATTCGCCTTTCAGCCACATGTCTTGCTCCTCTCTGCCTTCAGGTCTCTATTCAAATGTCATCATGTCAGTGAGGTCTTCTCCAAAATCTCTGTGCAAAGTAGACATGCTCACTTTCATCCTGGTACCTCTGAGCCTTTTATTGGGTTGCTTTAGATGCCATCTGGAATGCTACATATTTACTTGTTTATTTATTTATATTTTAATTGCCTGTGTCTCCTCCTTAAAATGTAGTTCCACGAAAGCAAGGATTTTTTCAGTTTTGTTCAATTCTGTGTCTTCAATGCCTAGAACAATAGATTGACAGTTGATTTTTATTAATTTAATGTATTAATACAGTACATTTAAAAACTTGGAAAAAATCCCTGATAATCATAAGCATCTAATAAAAGTAAACTATAATTATTTTAACTTTTAATAATAAGGAGGTTGTATCGACAGTAAATATAAGTACACACTCAGATCCAGACAACCTGGGTTCAGTGTCCAGCACTGATGATTCCTAACTGTGGACTTGGGACAATATTTGATCTCTCTCTGCCTCGGCTTTTTCTCATGCCCCCGAATGAGCATAACAATCATATCTAACTTATACCAGTTGTAGTGAGAATTAAATGAGGTAATTTATCTAAATCATTTAAAAGCAGTGCCTGCTGCATATTAAAAGCTAGATAAGTATTAATTTTTAAAGAGGTATATAAATCTGCGCTTGGTTTGTATTGCTGTTTTATTTGCCAGTTTCATCCACTTTTCTTTCCCTCCCTCCCTCCCTCTCCTTCCTTCCTTCCTTCCTTCCTTCCTTCCTTCCTTCCTTCCTTCCTTC